CCAGTTCAATTCCTCAGTACAATATAAACAGAAAAAGCCAGAAGTGGTGCTGTGGCTCAAGTGGTAGAGCGCTAGCCTTGAGCAAAAAGAGGCTCAAGGACAATGCCCAGGCCCAGAGTTCAAGCCCAGGACTAGGGAGGAAAAAAAAAAAAAAAGCCCACTTATCATAGGCCACAGTTGGAGATTTTTATTCCCCAAGAGCAAGAATTCAATACCTGAATATCTATTATGAATACTAACACTGAAATCTTCAGCTATGCACTGTAGCTCATGATTATAATCCTAGCAACTCAGGAGGTAGAAATCAAGAAGATCAAGGTTGGAGACTCTTGTTTTTTGGTTTCTTTTGGGGGTTTTTTTGGTTTGTTTTTTCTTTTTGTTGTTGTTGTTGTTTTGGGTAAATTATGGGGCTTAAACACTGGGCCTGAGCATTGTCCTTGAGTTTGTCAACTCAAGGCAAGTGCTCTACCACTGGTGGTTTATTGGAGATAAGAGATAAGAATCTCTGGCTGGGAAGGTACCACAGTGGTAGAGCGCTTGCATTGCACGCATGAGGCCCTGGGTTCGATTCCTCAGCACCACATAAGCAAAAAGAAAAAAGCCAGAAGTGGCGCTGTGGCTCAAGTGGTAGAGCCCTAGCCTTGAGCTGAAGAGCTGAGGGACAGCACCCAGGCCCAGAGTTCAGGCCCCACGACTGGACCCCAAAAAAAAAAAAAAAAGAGATAAGAATCTCTAGGACTTTCCTGCCCATGCTGGCTTTGAACCGTGATCCTTAGATTTCAACCTCCCGAGAAGCTAGGATTACAGGCGTAAGCTACCAGGGCCTGACTGGAGACTCTTTATTAAACAAAACAAAAAAGCCCCATATGGTGGTATATGCTTATAATCCTAGCTATTCAGCAGGATTGCGGTCCATGACTGGTCTAAGTACAGAATAGGAGATCTTTACCAGCCATATATCCAACAGGGACCTAATTTTCAACATATACAAGAAGCTCATGAAACTAAACTCCCCCCCAAAATCAATAACACAATTAATAAAAGGGCAAAGGAGTTAAAGAGAAACTTCTCACAAGAATGGCCAATAAACACATGAGGAAATGCTCACCATCTCTGGCCATAAAACAAATGCAAATCAAAATAACACTGAGATTCTATCTCACCCAAATAAAATTAGCTATTACATCAAGATGGCTCACACTTTTAATCCTAGCTACTCAGGATGCAGAGATCTAAGGATCATGGTTCAAAGCCAGCCCAGGTAGAAAAGTCTGGGAAACTCATCTCCAATTAACCACCAAAAAACTGAGAAGTGGAGCTGTGGCTTAAAGAATATTAGCCTTAAGCTCAGGGACAACACCCAGGCCTTGAGTTCAAGCCCCATGAACAACAACCCAAAAAGAATGTGAACAACAAATGATGACAGGGACATGAAGAAAAAGAAATCCTATTACACTATTGGTGAGAATGTAAACTAGTATAACCAGTCTAGAAGGCAGTATGGAGATTCCTCAAAAAACTAAACAGAGAACTACACAATGATCCAGAAATACCACTCTTGGGCAAACACTTGCACACACAATAAGAATTTACTCATCTACCACGAAAAACAATATTATGTCATTTGCAGGGAAATTGGAAAAAACTTATGTTAATAAAGTAAGTCAGGCACAGAGACATAAATAGCACATGTTCTCTCATCTGTGGACATTATATCTAAATTACAAACATATATGAAAACATATACATGATTATATGCATATAAACATGAACACAATGACTACTAAGAAGCTAATACTGTAAGGGGCTAATATTGTAATTCCTCTGAACAACTAACAAATAGTTTAACAAAATGAATACCAGCTAGCTAAAACATGGTGGTTGTTGTTTTTTGGAGGGGGGAGTTTCCAAGAGAAGATGATTATGGAGAAAGGAAGACTGAGTAAATATAGTTATTATTGTCAACATATATTAGATGATAAACTGAATTAAGTAACTTGATGGGATTAAGAGAGGAAAACAACAGAAGAGGTGAACATTGATCAAGATGTATTATATTTAAAATCTAACTTACTGAACTAAAACCTTTGTATAGCTACTTAAAATAATTTCAAACATTAAAACCCACTTCAATAAAATACTAACAGAAAAAAATAATGAAGGGGGGTGGGAGATGGGAAGGGATGGGAAGGGGAAACAAAGGAGGAGGCAACAATGCTTGATAAGAAATGTACTCATTATCTTGCCCATGTAATT